AGCCCAGCTGCAGAGGTTGCCCAAAGGTCCCCCTCCTATTCCGAAGAGCCTGAGGAGGAAAGTACTGGCCCAGGTGGCAGAGACGCTCATCCTCTTACCGAGGCACAGCAGCTAGAGGTTGCCGCCATCGCGCACTCATGCCTGCATCCGCAATGCAATGACCCAGCCTGCTTGAAGATCACAGCCGGGCAGCCATTCCGCCTGAAGCTGCTGCAAGCCTTTGCATCTCGCACCAAGGATCCCGATCACAAGCTGCGCAAGCCGCCTCCAATGCCCACAGACAGCGCTGTCACTTCGTGCCGCCTTGGTGTTCCCACACTTTCAGCCGCAGTTGCTGCCACAACCTTGAGCCTGCAAGGCGCACAGGTTCCAGGTCAGGTTGCCCTTCCGCAAGTCAACTGCTGTCTGAGATCTGCCATGCTCGCCAATGTGTGTGTCCCAGACAAGCTGGGCTTGCAAGGTGCACAGGTTTCAAGTCGAGCTGTCAGGTGTAAAGTTTTCCTAACTTCAATGCCAACAGTCAGCGCTGCCACTTCGTGCCTTGGGATTTGCGCACTTTCAGCGGTGGCCGCAGCCGCAACCTCGAACTTGCAAAGTGCACAGGTTCCAGGTCAGGTTGCCCTTCGGCAAGAGCTCTCTACCTGCAGCCCGCTTGAGCGTCCAACTGGGCCAGCCTTCTGTTGCTTGAGAGGCACCAAGCCTGCCAGCGCGTGTGCCTCAGCTCTACTCAGCAGGCAAGGTGCAGGACATACCTTCCAGCTTTCAATGGCAACAGCGTCAGCAAACACTACAAGAAGATGACCTGGACGGGCTACATCTTCTGCGCTGTCAAGGCAATTGGACTCAGGCAGAGCAGAACCCCGCACTGCTCCGCCAGCTTCTGCAAAAGGAGGTTGACAACGGTTGGGTCGTCCCTTTCCAGGGCAATGCCAGCGAAAAGGGCGTTGCTCGGCGGGGCGGTGCATCAAAGGAACGTGCAAAACTGGGAATGCTTGAGCTGCTGCGCGGTACTATGGCAAGGGTATAGGTGCAGAACGCAGACTGTGCTCTGAGCTGGCTGCAGCATGCGTGCCCGCGCGGGCTGTGGTGCGCATGTCATGTGCACTGCTTGCAGCTGAGTGCGGTGCTACGCTGGGTCGATCTTCCTCATCCTGTGTGGCAAGCACTTCAATGGGACCTGCGGGCTCAAAGAAACTATGGCCAGGGCGGTCGTCCATATGGGCACAGGGAGGAAGTACTTCTGAAGTAGAAGGTTAAGGAGGTAGAGCGTTAAAGTGAAGGCTGCTGTACGCTGAGCTTGCTTGCACGCAAAAAACTTAGTAAGCCTGCGGCTGGAGCCAGGCTCCGGGAATGCACATGACGTTACCAGCGTAAGGTTAACGCAACTAAAACATACATGAGAAAAGAAAGACATGTAACGTGTAAGATCCGCACCCGCTCGAAGGTCCACAGACCGGCATTTCCACGGTGCCAACAAAAATCTGTTGGGCAATAATCAGAAGATGAAGCAAACGAAATCTGGACTCTGGACCCTTCTCTGTTCCCATGAACAGAAAACACACGCGGGCCAATTCTCATCGCCGCAAGGACAAATCTCACCGGTAGGATGTTGCCCCTCTGGAACTGACGCTAATCCAGCGAAGATCCATAAAGATGTGAGCCGTGCGCTTGGCAGGCACACAATACGTCTGCCGGGGTTCGTTCGTGGGACCTGGGCTCAACCTCTTCTTCACCCTCTAACAACTTCTTAAAGTGCATCGGCAGTGGAGTTGCTGCCGTGCTTGCTGCGTTGCCAGTCACACTAGTCCGTTACGCTTGCGTTCAGGACAAGAAGGCGGTAACAATGCAACAGCAAAAGAAACAGGAGTCGATGTTTTTTCTGCAGGTGGCAGAAAGTTGCCAGTGGCAGGGTTGGCCACAGGCAGAGTCCAGGACAAGTATATCCCGGACAGGAACCTGCAGAAGCGCCTATGCAGCCAGAAGCCCAACAGAACCCCACAGCAGAAAAGTCATAGTGCCTGGAGGGCACGAAGCCAGCCCTGATGAAATTCAATCTCCAGAAGCTGGTCGACCAAGTCCAAGTGATTCAGGGCAAGCAAGCAGAAGCGCAATGACAAAGGAGGAGCGGGGGACAGTGTGAGTTTAGGGTCTAAGGCTCCGTCAAGGTAGTCAGCCTATGATTGATTGATTGATTGGCTGTGGCCCACGCGGACCCTTGCTTCGCAAGGCATCGACGGTTGCACCGACACTTGCAATCAGCCTATTACCGTGGCGAGTCTTTGCTCAGCAAACCGATGACTTGGTTCCTCAGGGTTTGCCCGCTCCTGGATTTCTTCCTAGGGTCTTCAACAATGATCGCTCCGACCCTCCGTTTTCCGGTTTGCCCGTCCTGGATTGTTTAGGCAGTCTGCATGCTTCCTGGGGGCAGATGGCTCAGCCCCCCTGCGCCCAAGCTAGTAGGAAACGGAAGTGAGCTCGGCTGCCCCGCGCCGTCACCAGGTGCGGGACGCACCTGTCGGAGTAGCCCTCAATCGGGAGCTGCGTCAAGGGTCTTTCGCACGGCGGCGGTGTAGTTTACGTCGGCTGGGCCATCGTGGGCTAGCCCTGGTGACGCCACCACCCTGCATTGGAGTGACCTTGGTCTTATTGTGGTTCCCACGGCATTCCTGCCACTGTGGCCATGGGAGCTGCGCTTGGTGGCCTTTTGCGGCAAACAGCTGACAGACCGCACTGTCAGAGTACCGGCCTCAATGAAGATGATGTTGCGCTGGTCTCGTTCCAGCCGGCCTACCCAGAAACCTTTCACCAATGCTTGCGGTTTTGTGGCTGGTTTGGCAGCTTTGCCATTACACTCTTGCCGAACACATAAATGTGCGAGTAGTACTCCACCCCGTCGGATCCATCGGCCCTGTGTAACATAAAAACTGTTTCGCCATGTATGTCCCGCAGTAATTGCCGTCAATCCTGTTTGATCTTTGACATTGTTTCCCGCGCTACGCCTGAGTAACATCAATTTCTCCGATGGGACGACAAGGATGCCTTGGCGTCAAGATTGCATAAGCTCGTCAAGTCACTAGAAAGCTGCAACTGCATTGGCTCCTGCATCCTCCGTGGCCTGATGCACCTGTACACCTCGTCTGTGATCTCGAAAACACGCCTTCGTAAATCACTTCTGTGTTCTTGCGGGCCGCCCAAAGTCGAAGTCCCGGGGAAATGGCGTCGTCGGCCCTCTTATACCCGAGCACTGGACCACCAGGCGAAGCAAAGGTGCAAAGGGCATTGACTAGCCGTGAAGCCCTCCGAGCAATGATCTCCATACAGGCCAGCGATGGGACATGGTCATAGGTCCGAGCAGTGTAAAACAAAATCGATCAGGGCTCGCATCTCGAAGGCAGTGCGGTCAGTCTCTCCCAGCTGTTCGCGCGCAGCCATTCAAACAACCTTCGTCTAAGATCGCTTCCACACCTCTCCAAACGGCGAAGTGGATGCCCTGTCGAACGTGGACCTTCGAGAAGCCAACTGCCGAACCGATAGTCCCGTGACTCCAAGATCAGCTGTTTCCAGTCCTTGTGCCAGCGGCGTTGTAGTCGATTTCCACAGACCATCGAAGATACCGGCGAAATCTCCGAGCCTTACCGGTCTCGATCGCCACCTCCAAGTAGCCCGAGGCCTTGACGTCAGGTCCCGAATCCAAGGGAAGACCCAGGGTGGAGACCATCACGGCTATGGGCGCTTGAAAGACCTCCCGCCTCTTGTCATCCTTTTTGGAACAAATCTGCAACCCAGAATGACCGACGCGGCAATTGCATGCCGAACCACTTGATATGCGCAAGTCTCCACCCATCGTGGGTACAATCTCCAACGCTCGTTTGTACACAAGGGCTCCAATTGATCTTGCCATCTATGCTCAGGCTGCCCCGTCCAAACCAGTATCTGTTCGTGCCACATATCATATATCATCTACAGAATACCAGTCCACAATGTGCTCACGGGCAGGCAGGACAGTACTTCCGAGGGCTGCCATGCCCTTCTTCGAGTCAGAAAATGGATGACGTTGAAAAAGCAGCGCCCCAGAGGGAAGTCCGCCACCGCCACAGCAGCAGATGCACGTTGCCCCTTCAGCAGTGGGCTGTGATTCCAGCATGATTCCTTCAGCCCCGCTTCCACAACCTTACAAGACAGCGCGGCCAGCAGCGCGTCAGTTTTCATGGCAATCCTACCTTTGGCTTTAGAGCTTGGGATATCGTGTTGCGATTTTCCAAGCCACTATGCACAGTCTTCACGAGCACGCTCTCACAACCCTGCGTGGGAGCCAAATGCTTGATGATCATGATGAGGAGGATGATGATGATAATGAGGAGGAGGAAGCGCAGAAACAAGGCCGTAAAGCGGATGGAAGGTTCTCGTGTGGCAAGGCCGTGACTTGAGCTGCAGTCATGGGCAAGCCTTCAAGGCGGCCATCATACCAGGCAGTAGCAGCCAAAGAGAGAGTGCTGCCCATGTCCAAGTGCGGTAATTCATTTGCAGGGGGCTGTTGCTCTACTCTGCCATACTTGAGCCCCTGCACGTCAGAAGGTGATCAACAGCTGCAGATCTGCTTCAAGGCAACGTGCATCCAGACCGGGCTCAGACCGATTGTCAATGGACCATTCCGCTCCTTCCAGAGGTGGAGGTGTTTAGCAGCATCTTTCTCTCTGGAACAGAAATGATGGCGCGCGCTGCTACACATCATGGGGGTGCTACGCTGAGCCTCCCGGTGGACAGCCGATGCATTACAAGGCTGAAGCCTTTTCTCAACCTGCCACTCAATGCGGATCAAATTGAAAGGCCTTCTTTCACGCTGTTGTGTTTTTTCAAGCTCTACTACTGAGCAATCATCAACTTGTTGTCAGTTACATATTGATCGCAGGCACCCTTCGTAACATGTTCTGTTTATTCCCAAAAGGGTACCGGCAAGCAATTAAGCCGTCAAGTAAAATCAGCTTCACAGACTCCATTTACCTTTGCAATACTATCACAGATGCTGCTGGATAAGGCGGCACCTCATCGGACCTGCAGTACTCCTGCAAATTGGCCGCGATGAACGAAGCATACTGGTGTTCTTGACATCTTGGCACCTGCCGATCGTCATACTCCAATTGCAACTTCCTGCGGCGAGCATCCTCCTGTGACAGCATGGCTCTGCAGACGTGCAGCTAACCTGTCAAAACACAAGCCTCCTTGCCAGTTGGTGGAAATGACGGACCTCGAAAGACTGGCCAGAAGAAGAATGGAGTCAAGCAAGCTTCTTGGCAGCATTTTGTAAGGCTTCTGCTGTGGCTTTCTTGGATGGGAAGGAAGCCAGGCCCAGGGCCTGTCTAAGTTGGCTGGCTGGATCCAAGTTGGTTTCTGCAAAGGTTTCTGCAGAAACTTTAAGAAATGGCTAGACATGGCCAGCAATGGCCAGAGCCTGAATTCCGAGAAGTGGCAGGCATTTGCCCACCTGATTCACTGATGCTGATGAAATCTTCCAGGATCAGAGACTGTCGGCAAGCCTGTCCATGAGCTGCAAGTCGTTGAAGTTGCTGACAAAGGATCATTGCCTGCGCATCACGAGCTGCAAAGGTAACTTATTGTAAGCTTGAGCACCCATCGCCTCCCCCCCGGCGTGCACTCCTGCACCGCGACGAGCGCGATGGCACGGCTTCGTCGAAAGAGAAGGCCCTGCCTCCGAAGGCCTGCCAAGTCAACTCGCCAGGTTCAGCACGCCCCTTTAGATTAGCTCTCTCAAGCTGTCCCAGGCACTCATCAGAATCAACTTCGCGGCAATAATCAATGACAAATAGGTCGGATCCAGGCACGATAACGGTGCTTCAACAAGAAAGAACTTTGAAGATACCGCAGGCAGCTGCCTGCGCTAAAAAGCCGGTCTTCCGGTAAGTTGCGGTCTTGCAGCTCTTCTGATCTGATTTTGAGCACGGCGGCTGTTGTTCGGCTTTTGCCTGGGTCTTCCCATGACAGTTTGTGACGGAAGGCCTCGACATCTCAGGCAGAAGGTGACTTGCATGATCTTCTGGTTCAAAGAGGAGAGCGACAAAACTAGTTGCAGCATTATGCAAGTCTAGGCAAGTCGCATTTGCCTGATGAGCAGTCAAGCTTACAGGTGGCCAAAAGCTGCGGACACCTGAAAGATCATAGTTTCTGCTTTTGCAGCGGGCCTGTCCAGTGCCATCCTCGCACAGCAAAAGCTGTCTGTGGGCAGAACTTATCGCAGCAATGAGCTCCTTGATCTCCAGCTGGTCCAAACAAACTTGGAGTTGCGCTGGCCATTCGTCGTTTGTGGGGTCCACTGCTATCAGACGATGGAAACAACCTGCAGCCTGCAAAGTTTTCGAAAAAGCAACAGCTGTTGATCTTATGCTTGGCTGTTGTGCTGCTAGCATCTGCCTGTGACCAGTGACATTCGCGCTGGTGCAGCCGCCCAAGCTGACGCAAAGCCCCAACCTCTTTCTTGGTCACCACTGCACTGACCGATCCGGTGAAGCTCTAAATCTCAAGACTTAGGTTCGAGCATGGGCAGAATCCACCCTCTGCAGAAAGCCGACAAGTAAGCGACGTGCCTCTTCAGCCTCTCATGCTGAGGTTCTTACAGCATACCGTGAATTCCAATTTGATTTGAATTGTCTGCTGATGTTGCCTGCCCACGCCGTTGTTCAAGCAGAGCGAGAGCAAATGTTGCCTCGGCTACATGGGAAAAACTCCACTGCTGCATTGTGTCACGGGTCAACAGTTGAAACCAAGGGCAATTTCATCTTGAGCATCTAGTCTGTGGGCCTGCCAACTTGAAGTGTGACACTCACTCTGGCGTCCACCCACACAGTCATGCAGCCTCACGGTACCAGTACAGGGCTGCTCGGTCCTCCAATGTGAGACTCACTCAGCACAGCAAACTGCGAGAGGTATCACGCTTGGTATTTGTAGGTGAGCAGCATCATTCTTGGTCTGGTAGGCGCAACCGAGGTTACCTGCATCTCCAGTTTGTCTTCAATATTCGTTCTGCTCGGGGCTTACAGTAGGACGCACCAACTGAACTTTCAGCCATTTGAACAACATTTTTGAAAGCCAAGACTTGTCCCGCAGTTTGGATCCATACGCCCTCATTTCGTGGAGTTTTTGCTTTGTTGAGAAAGCCTGTGATGGGGCGAGTCATGAGGTGGAGTATGGGTCTGGCCTTGGGTTTGTGACAGAACCAAGTGATTTTGCAGCATCTCCGATGCCGTTAAACTCTTGCAGAAAGACCCTGATTTAAATGTATCGCATGATAGCCGTCTGCTCTCACACATGTATCTATCCAGTAACTCAGTAACTCATGTGACATCTTAGAGGTCAAGATCCCGAAAACAAAACATATTCATTGGTCCAACAACTGCAACCATTGCAGCCAAATCACTGCAGGCAACGTGGCTGAGCGGAGCCAGTTCCCTAGCATCGTGCAACTCTCGAATGGACCTTGCAGTTGCCACGACAAGTCAAACACCGTGTACGTCTTGTTGTGGCAATTTCTTGTCGCGGGCTCATCTGCACGACCTTCATGAAGCAAACGAGCACCTCTCTGCGTGGATCGTGTAGCCTGAAGTAGCCATGGCCACCGGGCTTTCATGTTAGCTTGAAACCTCATACAGAATCCGATCCAGCAGTTTGTGCCGCACATCACTGCCAAGTGCCATTCTGATTTGAGGCAGTTTGAAGGCGACAAATCAAGTGCTTGAACTCTGCAACAGCAAAGCGTCTGATTGCCTCTGGATGTTCAGAATCGAGAGGATGCAGAACGAATACGTGAGTCAGTCCAACCTCCTGGAGCTGTGGCATGTTGAGCTGGCTGGCACATGTAACTAAAAGCATCATGCACACCCGTTGCAACTGCCATGTCCCAAGCACAAATGAGATGGTTTACAGCAATGGGGATGTTGCACAATGCTGGCAAGCTGTTCCTCTCTGCGAGATTGTTTCGTGGTCGCGCCACATGAGGCTCCAAAAGCCTATCATTGGGAAAAAGGTGCACAGGCAGCGAACATCAAACTGTAAGCTCAACAGCGCCTGCAGCTTGTCCCACACATTGCGAATGCTAGTCAACACAGATTCCAAATCCATTGCCCAACGAAACCTTAGGTGTCCGCAGAGCGCCAACAATGACATTACAAAACGTGAGCAGATCGTCCATCTGAGCATGAGACACTTACAAATCGACTACTCCGGCGAAAAGCGAAGCCAAAAAAAACACCCACGAGATCCGTGCTTGGAGGGTCGCTAAGTCGCTAAGTTTGAAGTTTGCATTTGAACTTGGAAGATCGCTGATTTTGCCGTCCAATGATATGTACGTCATGTAATTAAAAACTTTGCAAGTGGCTTGGTTTGAACCTTTGACATGTAACATTTATCATCAACAGATCACATCATCGAGCAATACATCCCTGATAAATTCTCGAACTGGCAAGGCAAAAGTCTTGATGGAACGCTACAACGTGTCTGTTTTTTCCAACTGTGACTTCAGTCGCGTTTCCAAAGAAATGAACTTGCAGTACCTACAAAGTAATTACAACATCTTTAAAAGGATCAAGCCACAAACATGACGCAGCGTTGACGCAGCTGTCTTCGCTCTCAAGACCATCCACGAAACACTAGTGATTTTTTTCTCGTACTTTTTCTCTTACTATGACGATGACCATTAACGCTATTCTCACTCTTAGTCTTCATCTTCGTCTTCATTCGATTCTGTCTAGTGCGAATATTATTATTCTTATTATTATTTCAATTACGATTGCTACCACTACCATTATTACTACTACTACTCCTACTCCTACTACTCCTACTACTACTACTACTACTACTACTACTCCTGCTGCTGCTGCTGCTACTGAGACTACTACTACTACTACTACTACTACTGCTACTACTAGTAGTAGTACTACTACTACTACTACTACTACTACTACTATTACTACTACTACTACTACTACTACTACTACTACTACTACAACTAGTACTACTACTACTAGTACCACTGCTGCTACTACTACTACTACTACTACTACTAGTACTACTGCTACTACTACTACTACTACTACTACTACTGCTACTGCTGCTGCTAATATTACTACTACTGCTACTTCTACCACTACTACTACTACTACTACTACTACTACTACTCCTTCTACTCCTTCTGCTGCTTCTACTCTTTCTACTCCTTCTACTCTTCCTAATACCTATACTACTTCTACCACTTCTACAATTTCCACTACGTCTACAATCTTTTCGACTTCTATTACTTTTACTACGTTTACTACGTTTATTACTTCTGCTACTTCTGCACAGAAACACATGACATGTCTAATAATAACATCCAAATATAACTGAGCCTTAGCCTGTATCAAAATTACATCTTCAAATTCTTTGCACTCCTTCATTCAGTCACCCTGCGACAAATAATGCAAATGCGGTCAATTCCTTTTTTTTCAAGACGCAGCGGGTTTGGTGCACACACAAATCCATGCAGGACGCTGGCGCAACCCGTGATTTCGGTACGGCATCCGCTCGGCTTAGACGCCCGGATTACCCCGGGAGGGTCGGGCGGGAAAAAACTGAGTGCAACCCTCCTTGATTGAACCCATTCAAGAACGCAAGTGTAAAATTCATAGGTGCGCCATGAAACTTTCATGTTCGATCAATCTCATGTGAAGAACATGAAAACATGACATACTGGACCGAAAAAAACTGATGCATGTGTTTCATGAAATTTCAAGCATGTGTGTTTGACTGTTGCACCCTGGGGGGTGTCGACTAAAGACAAGCTTGTTTTGTTTAAGTGGAAAATGTCATCCCCGCGCAGAAGCGCTCCTTCAACGGAAACACATGAAATGTCAAATTATCGCATCAAAATATAACTCAGTCCGCATCAAAATAATATGTTCAAATTCGTTGCACTCTTTAATCCAATCACTCCAAAACAAAGAATTCAAACGCGGTCAACTCGCTTCTTGCCCGCACATTATTGTTTCGGGAATACGGTTCAATGGGTTATGGATCTATATCTAAAACTTCAACGTATGATCTCACTCAAATCTTTATTCAATCTTCCTCAAAGCTACTTATGACTCAACCCCAGGAGGATTAAGATCAAATCAATTCACAGCAAAGCATTGCAAGACGTCATCCTTTTTCTAATCGGTGGTGGTAGCGTCTCAAGGGGGCGCATGCGAAACCTTGGTGGTTGCACATTCACCCCACGCTTACGTCTCGTGAGTGCTACCACTCTGATTTCACATGTGGCCTTTTGCGACCACCCTGATTCTGCTGAGGCTCTGATCGAATCTGACGCCGCATAACGTCGAACTGATGCTTTGTTTCCAAAGCTTCATCGGCGAAACTCTGCATTGATCAAGAATCAAGAAGGGCTCTTCTTCTAAGTTCCCTCTCGTGCTCCTCAACATGCAGCTTTCGCACCTAGCAAGGATTGCGTGTCTCAGGTTGAATCTTGGGGGGGGAGGCCAAGACCAAAATGACTTGGCAGATCAGTTGAACAATTCTTGCTATGATTCGTTCAACCCCGAATTCAGAGTTAGATTCAGGTATCAGGAGTTGCCACTTCAGCTCTTTGTAGACTAATCGACTAAGCCTGACTAAACATCAGTTCATATCAAATCCTGACCAGCGCCGGACTCAGCCAACTTCTCAGGTCTTGGCCTCCAAGATGCAAAAGATTCAGCGGCGACTCGCGTCGCCAGCAAGCCGTAGGGATGCTCCTTAACATGCAGCTGCCGCATTTCGAAGGATCGCGTGCCTCAGGTTGAGTCTTGATTGGGAGCCGAGATCAGAAAATGATGTAGTAGATCTGTGGACCAATTCCCACTTCGATTCTTTCAGCCCCGAACTCAGGATCAGATTCAGTTATAGACCAGGACTTGCTGCTTCAGCTCTTACATAAACTGATCGAGACTAAGCATCAGTTCGTTTCAGACAGAGATCAGCTCAGAAATCAGCCTGCTGGGAGTGCAACTGGTATCTAGCGCAGGCGCTCGGCTTGAGATGCCCAATCATCCAGAGCATAAAGGCACGGCCCCACTGTCCCCACTAAGCCTCCACCTGCTTGGATGCTGAACCCGGCTGCCTTGGCAACTTGCGGACATCCCCAAGCCGCACGGGACGTCGGAATGAGACCTTGCTCGACCTCAGCCTTCTTGTGCACCTGATGGACCTGACCTCTCCACTGGACCCGGGCACGCGCTCGACCTTTGAACACAATCCCCAAAAAAACCATCAACTACGGGGGGGGCGCAACTTTACCACCCTTATTGTTCAAAGGACCGTGCTTGAGCCGGTCTCATAGAACGCAGGTAGGTAAGATCATGTTGCACAACAACTTCAACCATGCCACTCGAACCTTCTTTTTCCCACAGTGGGGCAAAACG